GGTGGGGGGGTGGGCACGCTCTGTTTCTTCTAGTTCCCTGGCAGCAGGGCTCGCCCGAGTGGAAATGTTTCCATCTCTCGACAATCACTCCTCTTAATCCCTTAAACATTTTTCTTGGGGCCAGCGGGTAGCAGGATGGTTAGGGTGTTGGATCCCACATGGCCAACCTTGGTTTGAGGGTCAAGCTGCGTACATGTGTGTGCTTGCCCAAAATCCTGAGAGGAGAATGGAGAAGGGATTGCAGTGTGGACATTCCCCTTGGGGGTGATTTCTTACTTTCCCTTTTTCTCTTTCCAGCCAACACAAGCACCCTGTGGTGAAAACCTGAAGAAAAAGTACCCTCCTTCCCTCGCTGTTTAAATCATAAGCACATTTATTCCACAGTATTCTTTAATATGGTCATATAGGGTCATTAGAAAAGTCATGACATATTTTTTCCTGTTTTTCTATGAAAAAAATGCATCATGACTTTTCCAACAACCCAATAGATTGCGTGCCTGTAGCCAAGTCAGCCTTATTTACCAAGGCCAGAGTAACTCCTTTTAAACACTCTGTGCCTTTTAAAGTAGGTTCCAGGACCAACATATGGTGTAATGGTTATGTTGCTGGACTCCCACATGGCCAACTGCAGTTCGAGTCCCAGATCTGCCACTTAAAACTCACTCCAGGCACATATACATATGTGCCCAAGATTCTGAGAGGAGGAAAAGAGGAGAAGAGATTGCAGTGCACCGTCCCCCGGAGGTGACCTCTCTCTCTCTCTCTCTTACTCTAGCTCTCCAGCAGGCACACATGCCTTACAGCAAAAATCTCTCTCCAAAATAAATAAATATAAGTAGGCTCCCAAATGTGTGTTCTAACTTGTAAAACCCTTTATTAATATTTTTAAAATTTGCTAGTGGGTGCCTGAACTAGCTGGAGACAGAGAACATAAGAAATCACCCCCAGAGGATGGCCATGCAATAGTGCCTTTTCCTCCAATCTCCTCTGGGATTTTGGGCACATGAGAGCAGCGTGTTTTTCTAACTGCCTGGTCCAGGCCATATGGGATCCAGCTGCCTTCACTTCCATGCCATCAACTGGCCCTAGTAATACTTTATATCATTTGTTTTGTAGAACATGGCTGCGCCTTCTTGTTCTTTCTGCAGCTTACCTGCCTCTGAGCTATTTTTGCTATGTAAATCACTCGTATGCATCATGTGATGCTGCACACATCTGTCCCCGGAGGGCAGCTGGCCTGAGTGTGAAACCCATAGGAGAGCCCAGACAAGGGAACTGCCGGAGGGTAGCCATCGTGCAGCCCTGACCCTTGCCCTGTCCTGTGCCTCTGGTTTGCTGAGCCAGTCGGCTTACCGTCTAGTGCGATGCCTTGCGACTTGGCCCAAAGCATCCTGACCGGTAAACTCCAGCTCATTTTTCAGGACTCCTTCTAGGTGCCCTCTCCTGACCCTGTCTTCAGTACTTCGGGTGGTTACTACTTGAGGAGAGATACGGTCTTCTGTCAGCACTGGTGGCTTCTCAAATAGCATGAGGACCTGTGTCCCACCATACTGCTAAGGCAGGTCACTAACGTGTCTGAACGCTGTTTCTTAATGTTGAAAATGAGTGTCGGGACCAGCAGATGGCATAATGGCTACCTTGCTGGACTCCCACGTAGTCGACCACAGTTCGAGTCCCAGACCCAGTGGCTTAAACTCACACTGGGCCCATGTGTGTGCGTTCCCAAGATTCCAAGAAGAGAATGGAGAAGGGACTGAGGTGTAGCCATCCTACCCTGGGGGGACGGTGGGAGTGATTTCTCGCTTTCTGTCTTTCTGGCAAGCTCACGCACCCTACAGCAAAAAGCAGATGGCCTAGGGACCAGCAGTTAGCGTAATGGCTATGTCACTGGACTCCCATGTAGTCGACTGCGGTTCGCATCCCGGACCTGGTGGCTTCAAACTCACACCAGGCGCGTGTGCGTGCGTGCCCAAGAGCCCGAGAGGAGAATGGAAGAGAAGGGATTGCAGCGTGACCATCCCCACTGGGGGGGGTGATTTCTTGCTTTCTGCCTCTGTCTCTGTCTGTCTGGCAAGCGCATGTGCCCTATAGCGAAAACCTCTCAAAAAAAAAAAAAAAGAAAAACAGCAGGTGGCCTGAAGGTTAAGGCAGCTGGATTCTACGTGGCCAACTGCACAGTTCCTCCTCCAGCCTGCTGCTGGGGCTCTGCCCAGCGTTATGCCTGGCTCCGCCCACAGCAGTGGCTCCGCCCACCATGGCTGCTCCACCCAGTGCTGTGCCTGGCCCCCCCCACCACTGCTGCTCCGCTCAGTACTGCACCTGGCCCCGCCCACCACGGCTGCTACTCCGGGCACTGTGCATGCTCTCACCGAGCTGGGACCATTCCAGATACCCTTAGTGCTCTGAGTGATTCTAGGCTGCAGTTGTGTTCCCCAGGTAGTGAGACCCGGAGCCTGGTGGGAAGAATGAAGGTGAGGGACAAGTTATTCCAACCAGAGACCAGAGGCCTAGATGAGAGTTCAGCCATGTGCCCCGCCGGGGCCTCAGGTCAGCAAGTGACTGGCAGCTTTCAAAAGAGGGTGTCAATAATATACAGTGCAGAACCTAGGAAGAAAGGAGGTTCAGTCCAAATGAGTATCTTTTTACGTTCACTTTTTAAACTCTGTCAGAGGATGTGTGCACTCACCAGAGAGGAAGTGTAAGGAGAAGCACCTGCATGTCCCCCCTCCCCCCTTTCTTCATCCTGTAGGGATCTGGGTCATGTGTGCAGATGTGCCTGGTGTTTGTCAAGGCACCAGGCTGAGACTCCGACTGTTCAGTCAGCCACACGGGATCCAGCTCCCTTAACCAGCAGGCCACAGGGCCAGCCCCTACGTGAGAATCTTTTTTTTTTTTTTCCCTTTGGAGAGGTTTTTGCTATAGGGCGCATGCACTTGCCAGAAAGACAGAGAGATAGAAAGTGAGAAATCACCCCCCCGGGGGGGATGGCCACGCCACAATCCCTTTTCCTCCATGCTCCTCTCGGGATCTTGGGCCTGGCGTGAGTTTAAGCCACCGGGTCCGGGACTCAAACCACGGTCAACTACATGGGAGTCCAGCGACATAGCCATTATGCTAACTGCTGGTCCCCCCACATGAGAGTCTTGATAGGACAGTGGGTAGGAGGTAAGAAAGCAGAGGAAAAGACTCAAGAGTGGGCCTGAGCGGTCTCAGGGTGGAGGGGGTCCCACCTGTGCTGGGCGGATTCCCTGTGGGACATGCTCCCCCAGTGGTCAGGTCGAAGTTTGCTATACTTTGTCTCCCTTCTGCTCCTTCATCTGAACATTTTACTCTTCTCCAAAGTGGGGTCTGTGGAATCTCCCTGCTGAGGTCAGAGGTACCCAGGACCCAGTGCGTTTGTAAATATGGTCCTTTGTGTATTGTAGGAGTCCAGTCAGCTTAAGTAAATCTGGAAAACCCTGAAAATTCTCAAACATCCAGCTTACCGGTTTGGGCCACTTCTCAGTGCTGAGCTCCCCAGGAGAATCTAACCAACTCACTGCCCTCTTGTCCCTGTGTGTTTGCTCCCCAGGGTCACTCGGGATGTGTCAACTGTCTGGAGTGGAATGAGAAAGGAGAGTGAGTACCAGCTGGGCGCTGGCGGGCGCTGGAGGAGGGGCTGGGCGTGGAGGGCTCCCCTCTCTGCAGTAGATGTAAGGGAAGCGTGTGCTGTCTCAGTTTAATCCCCTGGTTATCAACACGCAGTTAAACAGTTAATCCCAGGACAGGGAAGATTGGATGAACATCTGAAACTTTTTTTTAGTAAACCAGTATGTCCAAGGGATAAGGGGACATTTTCAGGACAAAGCAGGATCGACTAACATGTATGAGAGAACCATGAACCCTACTGCACCTGCTGTCCTCCAGGCTGTGTGTGGCCTAACGCTCATGAACAGGAGCATGGCTGGGCAGGGGTGGGGCGGGGCCTCCAGGACAGGTCAGAACCCCTCGCTCTGCTTGCAGCCTGCTGGCCTCTGGCTCTGATGACCAGCACACGATTGTGTGGGACCCACTGCGCCACAGGAAGCTGCTCTCCATGCACACGGGGCACACCGCCAACATCTTCTCTGTCAAGGTGAGCGGGCACACTGCAGGGCAAGCCAGAGGGTGGCGGCTGCAGCAGGCTGTGTCAGGGTGGTGCCTCGGAGACCCACAGTCCCAGCACTGACGATCTGAGCACCTGAGGTGGCGCTCGAAACCCCATCTCTCTCACGCACGCTTCCTCTCCTAGACTCAGAGGCCAACTCTGTGAATATGTCGTTCACATGGGGTGGTTCTGAGAAGAAGCTTGGAGTAGGCAGACCTATGTATGACTCCACGCCTGCCTCTTGAAAGCTTTATGAACAAGGCAAAGAAGCTGACCCTTCGGCCTGTTTACTGGTCTGTAAAAAGGATGTCACTAAGGAAATCTCCCAAACACATCAGGAAATGAATGAGTAAATCATAGAGGGTTCATTTTGTTTTGTTTTGTATTTTTGGAGAGGTTTTTGCTATAGGGCACATGCACTCGCCAGAAAGACAGAGACAGAAAGTGAGAAATCACCCCCAGGTGGATCAATCCCTTCTCCATTCTCCTCTCGGGTTCTTGGGCACACTCGCACATGTGCCCGGCATGCATTTAAGCCACCAGGTCCAGGACTTGAACCGTGGTCAACTATGTGGGAGCCCAGCGACATGGCCATTGCTCTAACTGCTGGTCCTGAGCCTTCAGAAAGGAAGTAGCCGTGGGCCAGCCCTCTAGCCTCGTAGTTGAGGAGCTGCAGCACACGTGGTCAGCCAGGTTCCAGTCCCTGCCCGGGTGACTCAGAAAACTCCGTATAGGTCAGAATCCCTACTCAAAATCCAAAACCCAGAAACACTCCAAAATTCAAAACCTTCTGAGCACCATGATGCCACAGTGCAAAATTCCACACCTGACCTGTGGTATGTCATAGTCGAACGCTGCAGTATGCAAACGTCTGCAGTCACCTCTGGGCTCTGTGTCTAGAGAGGTCTTTAAAACATTCGCAGGACATGCAAGTTATGAGAGAACTGTGCATAGATTTCAGAATTTTTTAACCAAATAAACTCGTACTTTAGTTTCATTTTCTCACAAACTTTTTGAAAGCCCTTGTCTGAGAGCATAAATGAGCTTTGTGTTGGATAGCTCATGTGTAGTCACGCATCACTGAATGGCGTGGCGGGGCGTGTTCTGGGAAGAGTCCTCGGTGCTGTCATCGTCAGGCAGACGTCTAGCGTGCGCCCCCACAGACCCAGGGTGTAACTCGCCCCATGCCAGGCGACTGGGGATGCAGCCTGTGCAGTCCTGCAGGGTGCCGTCACCGCTGCAGTGTGCTGTGGACAAGAGAATTGTCACATGGTACATGACCGCGGCACTCCCGAGAGCGTCCTCACGCGGTACGTGACCACGGGTACCAGGATCTGGAGAGACTCGCGCTCTGAGAGCATCCCTGGTCCTCAACATCTTGCACGTGGATGCTCCTCTTCTGTAGGAATGACGCTTGTCTTTCCTGGTCGCAGAGAACAGACCTAGGACTAGTGACTGTGAGTCCACAGAAGCAACTTGGCTGGCAGAAGGGAAGTTACGTGATGGACAGCCTTCTGAGAGCACAGAACGCCCAGCCTTCGGAGTCCACTCCAGGGCACAGCCCCTGCCCGGTGTGAGGTTGGAAAACGCCGGCACAAGGGCCTTTCCAGCCCTGCACGCATACAGTGTGAGAGTGAGGCTGTCCTTGGGAAGCCCCCGTCTGGGGAACGTTTTCCTAATTCATATCGAAGGCTGTAGAACACCTAAAGGAGAAGGTAGATTAGGAAGTTCCTAAATGTTTCTTTCTACTCAAGCTCTGATTCCCATTTCCTATTTGGGGACCCATTCCAGATGGTTTCTGTGATTTTAGAGGAAAAATAGTGACAATTCACCTCTTACATGGCCCACGGAGACCACCGTCTGCCCCTGAAGTGTTAGGTGCATCTGAGTCTGCAGTCGGATCACTGAGCTCAGAACACTGATCTGATGCTCCTAACTGCACGGCCTTGGCAAGGCACTTAAACACCTACCCTCAGCCTCCTCTTGTGTTAAAAAATATGGGAGAGGGGCCAACAGGCGGCGTTAGTGGTTAAGGCACTGAACTTCCACATGACCGACCACAGTTCGAGTCTCGGACCTAGCGGCTTGAAATTCACACTGGGTGCATGTGTGTATGTGCCCAAAATCCCAGGAGGAGAATAGAGGAGAAGGTATTGTGGCCTGGCCATCCTCCCCAGGAGTGGTTTCTTACTTTCTCTCTCTCTCTCTCTCTCTCTCTCTCTCTCTCTCTAGCAAGCGTATGTGCTCTATAGCAAAAATCTCTCTAAAAGATAAAAGCGGAGAGGATTCTCTCTTCCGGTCCTCACTACAGATAGGTTTATTTGGCCCGTGTGCTCCCCCTGCTGGCAGTTCCGCTGGGTGACAGGGGTGGCAGTGGCCATAGGCTCAGGGCAGGGGCCTGCCTGTGCGTTTCTGCTGTGCTGGTCCAGGGGAGGTCAGAGACTGCTGGTGTAGGCTGTCATGTAAAATGATTCATCTGGTTAATGTCCACCTGTTCCATCTAGCCCTTACCCTAACCCGTTAAAGTGGGTAGAAAGTGAACTGTTGCTCTTGTGTAAACGTTTAAAGTCAGTTGGAACTTAAGCTTTCCTTCTTTTCCCCCATAGTTTTTTTTTTTTTTCTTTTTAATTCACACTGTATTTAGCGTTCAAATGCAGACAATGCTCTGCCCTCCACCCACAGCCTTGTAGGTTAGGAGGAACTTTTTTATTTTGCGGGGGGGGGTTTGCTATAGGGCACGCGCACTCACCAGACAGAGACATAGAGACAGAAAGCGAGAAATCACCCCCCGGGGGGATGGTCACACCGCAATCCCTTCTCCTCCATTCTCCTCTCGGGATCTTGGGCACGCATGCACACGCGCCCGGCGTGAGTTCTAAGCCACCAGGTCCGGGACACGAACCGCAGTCGACCACATGGGAGTCCAGTGACATAGCCATTACACCAACTGCTGGTCCCAGGAGGAACTTTTTTTTGTAATGCCTCAATTTTTTTTTTAACTCAGAAGAGTAGATCTCAACAGTATCTCCAGATATTTTTCTCCCTCGAAGTTGGGTGAGAGAACTGCAGTTTTTCATCATTGAAAGCTGTTTGTAGTGGTCCTGTCCCTGCCAGGTGTCGCCCGGAGCGCCTCGCCGTCCTCCGTCAGAACTGCACAGCCGAGCTCCACCCCACGCACCTTCCCCAGCCTGAGCCTGCGCGCCCTCACTGTGTGAGGTGACGCAGAGCCTTTCTGCACGGGTCCTTGCTCTTGCGGGTTATCTTTGGGGTCAAAAGGTAGAATAGGTTTTATCTTTTTTACCTATTATTTGATTGTTCTCTAGAAAGGTTAAGCCTCTTTGAAACACCCATATCCTTAAAACGCTGGAAGTCCTTCCCACCTGAGGCCTGGTTTAGCGCACGGGCCCTGTGAGGAGTCTGTTGAGGCAGGATGACGTCGGAAGTCCAACTGGGCTTGAACACAGGCTGCTGCATGTTAGTGCCAAGGGTTTGTGTACTCAGACAGACAGAGAGGAAGCCTGCCCCACGGGGGTGGTCACGCTACAGTCCTTTCTCCGTTTCTCCGTCTAGTATTTTGGCACGCATGCACGTATGCCTGGCGTGTTTCTCCAACTATTGGGGCCAGTACTCAAACTGTGCGGTCAGCCATGTAGAATCCAACCACCTTAACCACCATGCCTCAGGCTGACCCTGAACTCAGCTGGTAGCGGATCATTTTAGGTGTCAGTGACGTGAAGCAGCTGCCTGGTGTCTAGCCCATGCTCAGTGTGGAGTCAGGGGCAGCAGGCATGGCTACTGCCCACTCAGCTCTCACTGGGGGAAGCGTCGGAGGAGGGCTCCTCTGGTAGGCCGCTGGCCACAGAACGGACCGGCAAGGCAGGACAGCTCAATTCCAGCCGATTGGCCCGTTGGCTGCTATTCAAGAGCCACGTTTTCTTTTCTTTTCTTTTCTTTTTTTTTTTTTTTTTTTTTTTTTTTTTGAGTGATGTGCACTCGCCAGACAGACAGAGAGAGACAGAAAGAAAGCGAGAAATCACCCCCAAGGGGGATGGCCACAGCGCAATCCCTTCTCCTCCATTCTCCTCTCGGGATCTTGGGCATGCACGCACACGCGCCCGGTATGAGTTTTAAGCCACCAGGTCCGGGACGTGAACCGCAGTCGACTATGTGTGAGTCCAGTGACATAGCCATTACGCTAACTGCTGGTTCCCGAGAGCCACGTTTTCTCAGCCGATCGTTTTCCTACCTGACTAGTCGGGAAGGGATGTGGTACCCAGGCTGGTCTCCCTCGGTGCCATCACCCCCACAACTCGCCGTTCCCTGCTTCAATCTCTCCGAGCAGTTCCTGCCTCACGCTGGGGACCGCATCTTAATCACGGGGGCAGCTGACTCCAAGGTGCATGTCCATGATCTGACTGTGAAGGAGACCATCCACATGTTTGGAGACCACACAAACCGGGTGAAGCGCATCGCCACGGCGCCCATGTGGCCCAACACATTCTGGAGTGCCGCCGAGGATGGGCTCATCCGGTAAGACCAAGATCAGCACGTGGGGCCTGGCTGTGCCCTTCCAGCTTGCCAGCCTGCCGCCTGCCGGGGAAGCTGTGTGTGCACACTCGGCCCAGAACAGCTGCCTGCCCACCCCACGCCCCCCTTCCCTTCCCTCGCTGCTGCCTCTCACCACCGCAGGTGCCAGGGCACTCGCTTGCCCTCTCCCCAGACTGCTCTCTCTGACCCTCTTACCCTAAGGAGGTGAGTCACCTTCAGAAGCACCTCAGACCCTCCTGCCTAGAGTAGAAAGGTACCATTGGGCTCAGCACCCTAATCGTAGCCTCTGTAACTGTGTTCGCTAGCTAGCTACAGGGTGCCTGTGCTCACCACAGACAGGCAGGGGAAGTGAGAAAGCAGTCTCCAGAGGGATGGCCATGCCACAATCTCTTCTCCATGCGATCCCGGCATTTGTTTTGTTTTTCCATGGGATAAGTGCACTTGCTGGAGAGTCAGAGAAAGGGAAAGTGAGAAATCACCCCCCAGAGGGGATGGCTACACTGCAGTCCTTTATCCTCCATTCTCCTCTTGAGATCCTATACATAGACACACACGTGCCAGGTGGGTTTTTTTGTTTTTGGGGGGTTTTTTTGGAAGAGTTTTTTTTTTTTTTGCTACAGGGGGCTTGTGCTTGCCAGAAAGACAGAGACAGAGTGAGAAACTACCCTCCGGGGGGATGGCCATGCCACAATCCCTTCTCCTCCATTCTTCTCTTGTGATGTTGGGCACGCATGCACTCACGCCTGGCCTGAGTTTAAGCCACTGGATCCAGTACTTGAATCGCAGTCAACTACATTGGAGTCCAGTGGCATAGCCGCTACGCCAAGTACTGGTTCTGCCAGGCGTATTTTTTAAGCTGCAGGTCTAGGACTTGAACTGCAGAGGCAGCCATGTGGGATCCATGCCACCTACTGGCCTTCTGTAACACTAATCACCATCTGCAGTCTCTCTCTTTTTTATTTATTTTCTTAGAGAGATTTTTTTCAGGGCATGTGCACTTGCCAGAGAGAGAGAGACAGAAAGCAAAAAATCAACCTCCCGGAGGGATGGCCACACCGCAGTCCCTTCTCTGTTCTCTCCAGATTTGGGGCACACACGCACAGGTGCTCAGAGTGAGTTTTAAGCCTCCAGGTCCAGGATTCAAACTAGTCAAACAGCATCTGGCTGGGACACACTTCACCCTGACCTCCATCTCCTTCTCGGTGCAGTGGGAGTGATCTTGGTATCTCCCTCATGGTCGGAGCATTAAGTGGAGGTCGTGCATGGTTCTTAGGGGTGGAGAGTGCCCATCAGTGGCAGGTCTAACTAAGTTGCACTGCTGACCTCCCAGGGCCAGGGCCAACTGGTTGAAGCTGAGTGTCTAGGACAGGGGTCCCCATCCCCAGGCTGCAGACCAGTGCTGGCCTGTGGCATGTGGGGGCCAGACCACGGATCAGTGCCAGCCCCCAGACCGCGCAGTGGGAGTGGGCCAGGTGAGCGAGGAGTCCTCTGTGTGTGGCCACCCCCATCACGCACACTGCTGCCTGGGCTCTGCCCCGTGCTCATGTTCTCGTGGGGATGGGGGCACCATCCCTGTGTGGCCGTCGCTGTGTACTCCAGTGGCACCCCGTGGACATGGTGCGTTTGGGTCATCCCAAGGCCACCCCTGCCCCATCTGTGGGAGGATTGTCTTCTACAAGGCCGGTCTCTGGTGCCAGGAAGCTTGGGCACTACTGGTTTGGGGCAGTGGTAGGGTCCGAGGCACTTAGGCATAGGCACGGCAGATGAGCATACCGGGCCGGCCAGATGTGGGCGGGCAAGGAGGAGCAGAGTGGGCTTCCCAGCTTGAGCTGGTTTGTGAAGACAGGTAAATGTGGCCCTGGCACGGTCACTGACCCCTCGTAGAAGACAGGGAAGCACAGTTGGATAGAGGCTAGAAACTGAGACCAGGGTGTTTGGGAAAAGCAAACTTCAGCTGAAGAGCAGTGAGAGTCTGCAGAGTGACGAGAGCCAGTGTTTCAGGAGGTGTGATCTGGTGAGGATGGCCTGGAAAGACAGGCGGACAACGAGCAATGAGACGTGACAGCTGCCTGGGCGTGAGGCGGCTGAGCACAGGTGATCCCTGCCATGGGGTTCCCGGGCAGGGGCGGGGCGGGGCGGGGTGGGGGCATCCCTGCTGGCGGCCTTCTTTTGGGCTTTGTGCTTGCTGAGTGGATGGGGCTTGGGGCTCGTTTTGGCCTTTGGTATTTCTCGGTAGTTCTTAGCTGATTTTCAGGTTCTCTGTTCTGTCACCTTCTTCCTTTATTTCCTGAAAGAAACTAGACTGGGAAGGAGCGGGGCAGAGTGAGTGAGACGTACCTTGGGAAGCTCCAGCTCCGTCGTAGTTGTGTCGTCCCAGGCAGGTTTCTTAACGCCTTTGAAGTCGGTGTTCTGACGGTAGGTTCCATGCAGTAATGCATGTGAACCACGTAGTGGCAGCACTGGCCACGAAGCACCTTCTCACTGCGTGTCAGTGGTCAGGACGACGGTGCAGGAGCACTGGGACCAGCAGTGCGACATAGGGACGGGGCGTCTGCATCGTTTTAGGAGAAAACAGAGCTTGTGGGCACTCGGGGTAGGACCGGTGTGAGGCAGGTGGGAGAGACACGTGCCCTCACAGAGCCCTCTGCAGCCTCAGCCAGCTGGATCCTGTGGGGCCAGTGAGCACAGGGAGCCCCCAGGAGGTGAGCCTCGGGCCTTTCAGTCTGGCCTCAGTGCAGAGCATGGCCTCACGTCTGCCCCATGGCAGGGAGGGCTTCGGACATTCTTACTGTTGCACTCTTACTTCAGCCCCTCCCAGTGTTCTCAGGTCTCCGCCTCCCACGCCAGACCCTGATCCCACTCTCCCCGTCACAGCCAGTATGACCTTCGAGAGAACAGCAAGCACTCGGAGGTGCTGATCGACCTGACAGAATACTGTGGCCAGCTGGTGGAGGCCAAGTGCCTCACCGTCAACCCCCAGGACAACAACTGCCTGGCGGTAGGGGCCAGCGGGCCCTTCGTGAGGCTCTACGACATCCGCATGATCCACAACCACAGGTGGGCGCGGGGGCTCAGGGGCCGCCTGCTGGGAGGTGCGGGGAGGTCAACCCCCAGGACAACAACTGCCGGGCGGTAGGGGCCAGCGGGCCCTTCGTGAGGCTCTACGACATCCGCATGATCCACAACCACAGGTGGGCGCGGGGGCTCAGGGGCCGCCTGCTGGGAGGCTCGGGGAGGGGGGGCTCGGGGGCTGTCCCACCTGGGGGGCTTG